AGAGATATACATATTTTTTTTCAAATGTGACAAATATAGAAACAAAGAGAGCAAGAGAGAAGAAAAGAGACGCGAAGGAGAGAAGGGGGGAAAAAAAAGGAACAGGTTCTCCCCCCCCCCTACCCCTCCTTACCCCCTTCCCCCTTACCGCTCCCCTACCCCCCTTCCCCCCTACCGCTCCCCTACCCCCCTTCCCCCTTACCGCTCCCCTACCCCCCTTCCCCCTTACCGCTCCCCTACCCCCCTTCCCCCTTACCGCTCCCCTACCCCCCTACCCCCCTACCCCCTACCCTCCCTCCCCCCCTCCCCCCTCCCCCCCTTACCCACAACATCGTCGCCCCGTCGCCGTTGTCATATCCGGCGGGGAAATAGGAGGAAATAAGGGCGGCTCCGATGACGTATTGCAGATTACGAGGCTGGGAGGAGGAGGAGGGGATGGGGGGAAGGGGGGGAGGGGGGAGGAGAGAGGGAAGGGGTAGGAAGGGAAGAGGGGGGATGGGGAAAGGTAGGGTGGAGATGGGGAAAGGGTGGGGAGGAAGGGGGAGAGAGGGAAGGGGTAGGAAGGGAAGAGGGGGGAGGAGGGGGAAGAGGAGGGAGGAGAGAGGGAAGGGGTAGGAAGGGAAGAGGGGGGATGGAGGGGGGGAGGGTAAGAAGGAGATGGGGGAGGGGTAGGAGATGGGGGAGGAAGGGAGGAGGGGGAAAGGGTGGGGAGGAGATGGGGGAGGAGGGGAAAGAGGGGGGGATGGAGGGGAGGGAGGAGATAGGGAAGAGGTGAGGGAGGGGGAGGGAGGGGAGGCAAGGAGGAAGGTAGGGAGGAGGGTAAGGGGAAAAGTGGGGAGGAAAAAGATGGGTGAGGGAGGGATGGGAAGGTGAGATGAAAGGAGGGGAAAGAAGGGTGAGAGGGGAGGGGAAGGTAGTGGAGTGGGAGGGGAGGGGAGGGAGGGGTAAATGATGAAGTGATTAGGGAAGGAGACTGAAGAGGGGAAGGGAAGGGAAAGGGGTAAAGGGAGGGACAGAAGTGTGGCATGGGGGGGAGAGGGAGGGGGGAGGGGAGGGTCTCTTGAACGAGATGGGGGTGAGGGAGGAGGGAGTTCTGAGAAGGGGGGAGCTGGGTACAGGGGGGGGGGGAGAAGTTGAAGAAACTAGAAAGTTATTATTTTGTATTCTATTTTTGTCCTTTTTTATCAATTATTTTCATTATTATTTCATTATTACGTCATTATGCTATTTTTTTTTTCATTATATTTACCCAATCACGAATTAACTTTTTTTTTCTTTTTCTCTATTAAAACCAATTCCACTGTTGCTTCTTACACTCACCTTACAGCCCCCCACCACCCCCACCCCCACCCTCAAAAAAAAAAAAAAAAAACAATAACAATATCACGAACACTAAAACAAAACAAAAAAAAAGTATCCGTTGTCTATAACAGTGAACATCTAATCATTAAAAGCTAACGTACGTAAATTCTATCCCGAGTCTAGACAGGGATTATATACCAAAATGGTTATTAACACGTTCATCCGAAAACGCGCTGAAATTCCGTAATATATATCTGGAAATGTTAAATATTTGCGCACCTGTTGGGCTGTGTGTCAACCAGCGCCATAAATAAAAGACACACATCGTTAAACACATACATATACATACGTGTGTACACACAGCGTAGATACGTGACCGGGCTAACCTAACCTTCCGCCCACTCACAGACACACACACACACACACACACACACACACACACACACACACACACACACACACACACACACACACACACACACACACACACACACACACACACACACACACAGACACACACACACACACACACACACACACACACACACACACACACACACACACACACACACACACACACACACACACACATACACACACAAACGAGCAACGAATACATGAATAAACAAAAATAAGTACACAAACAAAAACAAAAATAATGATTACTTCTTAATATTTTATTAATTTCCCATTTATATAAGAGTAATGTCTATATTTAAGTACTTTTAATATAACTGTTGACAATTTTGACCATTTGAATCTCTCAATCTTTCTAATCAACAACAAAAAAAATATTCTTCAAAATCTAATTTGAGGTAAATACCATTACCGAATATATAATCCTTCTTTTGAACTTACTTCAAGAAAATTAATTCAATATAAAAAAAAATCATCCCACTTTTCAATATAACAACCGAATCATTCAGAAAGCTTTCAAGTTAATCCAGTAATCCCAGTCATTACCAAGTAACACCTAGCCACACAAGAGAGATAACGAGAACGAATGACAATAACACGAATAACAATGACCATAACGGAGCCGATAACATAAACATTGCATCCTTTGTTCTCCTCAACAGAACTAGAGAGAGTGCAGAGTGGCAGACGAAGCGAGGAGAAACGCGCAGTCGAAGTGACCAAAGAAAAATCTATCAAGGTCACAGTCAAGGTGCTGGTGCCGACGAGGGAACACCCCAAG